GTTAGTCACTTTCCTCCGTGCCCTTTCCTCCTTGTTTGAATAGACTTCTACCTGCATGCCCCCATTTATTTTCCTTAGTATTTTCTCCTAAGTTCTTCTCCCTCCCCCCAGTATAGTCATCTTCTCCTCCTTCTCCATTCTTCTTTTAAGATCCTTAAGACATAACAGAATCCATATCAGGCCCCCTGTCTAATTAAACTCCCTCCATGACTGTTGATGATGATGGGGTTGAGAGGAGGGGCGCATGGATCACCTCTCCATATTAAAATGTAAGCAGTTCATCCTTTACTAAAAATTACAATTTTCTATTTATATTTTTTATCTATTTTTTATATTTCTCTTGACTCTTATGTTTGTACTTCAAAGTTTCTATGAAGTTCTGGTCTTTTCATCAGGAATTCTTAGAAGTTCTCAATTTCATTAAAGGTGAATTCCCGCACCCTTTGTGGGATTATTCTCAGTTTTGCTGGGTAGGTTATTCTTGGTTGTAAGTCTATTCTTTGCCTCCTGGAAAACTGTATTCCAAGCTCTCTGTTTCTTTTAAGTAGTGGCTACTAATCTTAACTGTTGCTCTCAGTACTTGAATTGTTTCTTTCTGCAATATTTTTTTTCTTTGATCTGGAAGCTCTGGATTTGGGCTATAATGTTCCTTGGAGTTTCATTTTGGGATTTCTTTTAGGAGGTAATCAGTAGATTCTTTCTATTTCTACTTTGCCCTCTGGTTCTAAGAGATCTGGGTAGTTTTCTTTTATAATTTCTTGAAATATGATGTCTAGGCCTTTTTTTTCTTTTTGGTTGGGGTTTTCAGGTAGTCCAATGATTCTTTTTTTTCTTCCACTTAATAGTATTTTATTTTTTCCAATTAGATGTAAAGATAGTTTTTAACATTCACTTTTATAAGATTTTGAGTTCCAAATTTTTTTCTTTCTCTCTCCCTTCCCTCCCTCCTCCACAAGATGGCAAGTAATCTGATATAGGTTATACATGTAAAATTATATTAAATACATTTCCACATTAGTCATGTCGTGAAAGAAGAATCAGAACAAAAGAGGAAAACTGGGAGAAAGGAAAAAAAAAGAGCAAATAGTATGCTTCAATCTGCATTCAGACTCCAAAGTTCTTTCTCTGGATGTGGATAGCATTTTCCATTATGAGACCTTTGGAGATGTCTTAGATCCTTGGATTGCTGAGAAAAGCTAGGTCTATCAGTGTTGGTCATTGCACAGTGTTGGTGTTACTATGTACAATGTTCTCCTGGTTCTGCTCACTTCACTCAGCATCAGACCATACGAGTCTTTCAAGGTTTTTCTGAAATCCACCTGCTCATCATTTCTTATAGCACAATAGTATTCCATTACAATCATATATTACAACTTGTTCAGCCATTCCCCAGTTGATGGGCATCCCTTCAATTTCCAATTCTTCGCCACCACAAAAAGAGCTGCTATAAATATTTTTGTACATGTGGGTCCTTTTCCCTTTTTTATGATTTCTTTGGGATACAACCCTAGAAGAGCTATTGCTTGGTCAAAGGGTATGCACATTTTTATAGCCCTTTGGGTATAGTTCCAAATTGCCCTCCAGAATGGTTGGATCAGTTCACAACTCCACCAACAATGCATTAGTGTTCCAATTTTCCCACATCTTCTCCAACATTTATCATTTTCCTTTTTTGTTATATTAGCCAATCTGATAGGTGTGAGATGGTACCTCAGAGTTGTTTTAATTTGTATTTCAGTAATCAATAGTGATTTAGAGCATTTTTTCATATGACTATAGATAGTTTTGATTTCTTCATCTGAAAACTGCCTGTTCATATCCTTTTAGTCCAACAATTCTTAAATCATATCTCTTTGATCTGTTTTCCAAGTCAGTTGTTTTGCTGACAGATATGTTATATTTTCTATTTTTCAGCCTTTTCACTTTTTTTTTAATATATCTTATTGTCTCGTAGAATTATTAGTTACTGTTTGGTCCATTATAATTTTCAGAGACTTTACTGCTTGGGCAGTTTGGTTCTCAGATCAACTTATCTAGCTCTAACTTCTCCGCTGGCTTCCAGTTTCATATATCTGACTGCTTACTGGGCACTTGGAGCTGGATATCCAGTAGACATCTTAAATGCAACCATATGCAAAACTGAACTCGTTATCTTTTCACTAAACCTTCTTCCTCCCCAAATTCCCTCTTACTGTCAAAGGTAGCACCACCTTCCCAGTCCCTCAGACTCATAACCCAGGTGTCATCCTAGGCTCCTCCCCCTCTCTCATCCCCCATATCCAATATGGCGCCGAGGCCCGTTGATTTTGCCTTTGTATCATCTCCGTCACATACTCCCTTATCTCCTTTACACTCCAGTACAGGCCCTCATCACCTCACTCACTTGGTCACTCTTGGATTATTGCAATAGCTTGATGATTGATCTTCCTGCCTCTCCACTCCAGTGCATTTTCTATTCAGCTGTCAAAGTGATTTTCCTAAAAAGCAGGTTTATCCATGTCACCTGTCTATTTGATCACCTCCAGTGGTTCCCCATCATTTCTATGATCAAATATAAAATCTTCTTTTTGGCATTTAAAGCCTTTCATAACTTGACCCTCCCCTACCTTTCCAGTCTTCTCACACCTTACCTTCCCACCCTCCCCCACCCCAGCCAACATGGACTCTGTGATCCCATGATGCTGGCTTTCTTGTTCTTTAAACAAGACACTCCATATCTTGCCTTCGGCATTTTTACTGGTTCTCCCAAGCCTGGAATTTTCTCCTTCCTCATAGCTGTCTCCTACCTTCCCTGGCTTCCTTTGAATGCCAGCAAAAATCTCACCTTTCCTGATCCCCCTTAAGTTTAGTGCCTTCCCTCTACTGATTATTTCCAGTTTATCCCACTCACAACTTGTTTGTACACAGTTGTTTGCGTATTGTTTCTTCCATTAGAGTGTAAGCTCCTTATGGGAAGGGACTGGTTTTTGTCTTTCTCTATATCCCTAAAGTTTAACACAGTGCTTGGCACATAGTAAGTGTTTAATAAATACTTATTGACTGCCTAGAAACTGTATTCTTTTTTAAAAAATTAATTATATATATATATATTTCAACCAACAAAACCTTCCTTTTCTTCCCATCCCAAACTCCTTCCTCATTGAAAAATGAGGAAAAATACCCTACCAGTTACAAACATGTACAGTCAAGCAAAACAAATTTTTTCATTGGCAATGAGCAAATATATTTGTGTGTATGTGTGTGTATATTATATGTATACATACACATTTGCATCTGATAAAATAACTTTGATTACATGAAATTGAAAAGCTTCTCAAACAAAATTAATGTACTTAGGATAAGAAAGAAAGCATTGAATGAGGAAAAAAAATCTTTGAATCAAATATCTCTGATAAGGGTTTGTTATGTGTGTGTGTATCACAATGTTTTATATAGAGAAGTACCATAAATTTGTATGTGTATATGTATATACAAACATATAAGTGTGTATATAATATCAAAAGCTAGCTATTCCTCAAAAAATAAGTGGTCAAAAGATGTGAACAAACAGGTCTTTAAAGAAGAATTGAAGATCATTGATAAACATATGAAAGAACACCCCAAATCACTAATAATAAGAGAAATGCAAATCATAACAACCCAATAGTTTCATCTCACACCCAGAAAATTGACAAAGATGGGAATAGTCAATGTTGGAGGGGTTGTGGGAAGATCAGCACATACTGGTGCATTATTGGTGGAGATGTGAAGCAGTACAAACATGTGGAATTATGAAAATAAAGTAAAATGAAATGTCCATAGTCTTTGACCCACAGATTCCATTACTAAGCTTATATCTCTAAGAGATCATTAATAAAAAGAAAGTCTCCATATATGTTAAAATTTTCATAGTAGCATTTTTATGATAACAAAGAATTGGAAACAAAGTAGGTACCCATTAGGGAATGACTAAACAAATTGTGGTATGTTAATATAATTTATGTGAGAGTGCTGTAAGAAATGATGAATTTGATAGATACTGAGGAGCATGAGAATATTTACGTGAATGCCACAATGTGAGTAGAGCCAGGGATATCATGAACACATTGACTGCCACCATATAAATGCAAAGATTAACACAACAACGAAGAACAAGTCATACAATATGACAACGAACATGTTTGGCCCCAAAGGAAGTGATATGAGAAGATATCTCCCCCCACTCTTTTGTAGAGAGAGGGAGTGCTCAAAGACGTGGAGCAGTGTATATAAAGGCAGAATTTTTTAGGTGTTGATTAATTTTAAGGAATTTTTTCCTCTTCCCCTTTTTCTCAAAAAAAAAAAGTTTTTCTTGTAAAGAATTACTCTCTGGAAGGAAGGGGGAAATTTAGGTGATGTGATAACAAAAGTTATCAATAAAAATCCATTCTAAAGAAAAGAAAGCTATCTATGGGCCCCTTCTGGAGGGGTGGAAGGGGATGATGGTGAGTAGCCCCCCTAGAAGCCATATCTTGCTGTGACCCCACAGAGGATGATGTGCCAGGGTTTCTGTTTTCCACCTCTGGGCAATGTCCATAACTCTCCTTAACTGATGGTGCCTTAGATGTCCATCAGTCCGTGTTCCATTTGCAGTGATTGCCTGTGATGCAACACTTCCTAGTCATGGCACTGGCTGGGTGTTTCTCTTGACTCGAGGTCTTCTACCAGAGACTGGACAGCCACTGGACAGCCAGTTCCAATGTCATTGAAGGTTTATTGGTTAAGGGTAGATGGAACTAGACGGGTTCTGAGATGCTGTCTAATTCTTAGGTTCCAAGCTCTGTGATTATTATTGGAATGGGTGAAGGATGTCTTGAAGGAAATGCCAACTTACGTCTTCCTTGGAACAGAGGGAGTCTGGTTCTCACTCTTCCCCCATCCATTAATTCTGATGCTTTATAATATCCCTGTCTTCCCCCTTCCCAAAAACCACAAGACACTAAACTCTGGGGCCGCCATAGATTTTATTGTTGGGAGTGGAAGGGAGAGGGGAGAACTCCCAAAGGGAGCAAGAGGCCCCATGCTGCAGAGCTCCAGGAAGTGGTTAGGTCTCCAAATACAGGTGGTGGTCTTCTTTGGCTAGAACTCCAAGCAGGACACCTGGTGGGTGGAGTTCATTACCAAACTCCCATTGACTGGAATTCTACATGGTAGTTGGAGTTCTGGGGATAAGAAAGGGAAGGGTGGGGCTCCAGGTGGTGTGTACATGTAGGGGGCCAGTAAGGTGGAGGCCCTTATTTCTGAGCAGGGATCATATCATCAATGGACTGGCCCTTCTCCAGTTTCTTCTCCATCTCCACCATGAGCTTCACACCATCCACTACCAATTGCACCTGCTCCACCTCTGAGGAGCCCAGTCGGTCTGCATTGGACACATCAAATACAGATCCCACAGCTGCTGTATCCACACCACCTGTAGGGGAGGTAGAAGGGAGAGGATGGGTGAATGGCTCAAAGCAAGATCCTAAGGCGTTTGGAGTGAAGGGGCAGGGACCAGGGACGTGAGAGATAGATACCCATGGGACTATATGTCACCTACCTAGATACCAGATATCATAATATCACTGTTATCTAGCATTTATAGAGCACCTACTATGTGCCAGGCACTGTGCTAAGCACTTTACAAATATCATGCCATTTTATCCTTACAACAACCCTGGGAAGGAAGTGCTATTACCATCCTGTTTTACGGTTAAGGAAACTGAGGCAAACAGAAGTTAGACTTCCCCAAGATCACATAGCTACTAAATCTGAGACTGGATTTGAATTCAGATCTTCTTGACTCTATTCCCAAGCCCTCTATCCACTGTACCACCTAGCTGCCCTAATATATAACATCCATATGTAATATCCATGGAGATACACAATGCCAATGGAGATATCTAACACCATTGAAGATAGCCAACATTCATGGAGTTGTATGAGACACCCAATATCCATGGTAAGAGTCAGCACCCATGGGGCTATATAACACCCATGAACATATCCAGTGCCCATAGAGACATCCGATTTTATCGGGTTGGCCAACATCCACAGGCACCTAGCATCAATCCATGGAAATACTGAATGCTCATAGAGGTTCCCAGTCCAGTCCCCATGGAGACACTTAATAATTGGCTGGGACAATGGGATGGGCCATGCCACATTCACTCAGGATAGCTGGATGAGCGAGTACCCACCTGTGCCCCGCTTCTGCAGACGCAGGCGGGTGAGGATCTCTTCAAACTTGGGGTGCTTGCTGAGGTTTGCCAGTTTGACGTGCACACCCCCACGCAGGCCAGTACCGAGGTTGGAAGGGCAGGTGAGGACGTAACCAAGATGTTCATTCCACATGAAAGGGTGGCCAGCCTTCTTGAAGATCTCTTCAATCTGGGGAGGGGAGGGAGGAGAAAGGATGAGTCACTGTGATAGCGGAAATAGTCATCATCAGGGGAGAGGGACAACACCTGTGATTTCCTCAGTGTGAGGACACACACAAAGAAGTCTGTGTCTGAGGCTAGATCTGAATCCAGCTTTTTCTAGCTCCAAGGCCAGTTTTCTACCCACATCCTGGCTGCTTTTTCCTGTTAATCACAAAAACTCCTATAGATTTAGCACTTCTCAAAGCATCCCTGTGTGATTGGTGGTGTGAGGATGATAATTCTTGTTTCATAAAGGAATAAATGGATAACATGGAAGCAGTGGGAGCTAGGAGACAGAGAGCCAGCCTTGGAGTCAGAAAGACCCAGGTCCAAGACTTGTCTCTGGCACCCACTGTGACTCTGGGCAAGTCAGGAAGGTCTCACAGACAAAATTTCAGACAAGCTGCCTATCTGCCCTGAGAGAGGCAGTGTCCCCACTAGGGATGTCCACATAGCCGGGAGACCCCAAGCCTGGACAAAAACACCTGCTAAAAATGGAAGTTCAGAGAGATGAAGTGTTCTCCAGCTAGGAAATAAATACCCAACCTGGGATTGGAATCCAGGGTTTCTGACTCCAAGGTCATAACTCTACTCTATCATTCCCATTTCCAGGGGGTTCTGATTAAAGAAATCAGGTCAGGGGTAAGAAGTTCAAAGTGAGAATTCAAGGGCTGGTGCCCCAAGATATCAAGTCAGAGAGAATCCTCTCTGGGTCTCAGTTTCCTCATCTGTAAAATGAGGGAGTTAGATAAGAGGTCCCCTCTTGTTCCTCCCTGCTCTAAATCTGTGACCCTCTGCCCACTTCCATGCTGATGCATGTCCTTCAGGGGAGTACAAAGGAAGTACCAGGAATATTGAATTAGGCTAGGAGGATACCAGATGGCTCCTGCTTCTCCCCTGAGGCCTCACACCTAGGGAGGTCCTCCTGGCCCTGCCAAGTGGCACCCTCATTGTGTCCTTTGGTCTGGGTGTCCCTTGTAACCCTCCCCCCCACGCCCCTGCAAGCTGGTGTCCTGAGCTCTTCCCAATGGGGCTCGAGCTGGGCACTAATACACCCAACCCCGTGTTTGATTGGAGGGCACTCTTGAGTATCACTCCCCCCACCCATTGTCTTCTATTGATTTTCTGTCGATTTTTTATCTATTCATATCAACAAAGCAATCAGTATATATTAATTACTCACTATGTGCCAGGCACTGTGTTAAATGTTGCAGATTCAAAGAAAGGCAAGATTAGCCTCTGTTCTCAACAAACAGGGAGTCTAATGGGAATGTACCTGTATATGTACATACGTGTACACATGCACATGGAGACATTATATACATACATCTGTATCATGCAGACATAGTATATTGTATATACATGTATATATATATATATATACAGAGATATATACGTATCATGCAGACACAATATATCATATATGTGTGTACACATATATGTACCATGCAGACACCATGTATCATACATGTGAGTATGTGTGTATGCGTGCATGCATGTATGTATCGCGCAGACATAATAAATAGTGTATATATTATGTATATACACATAAAAGTAGTATGTATATGAGCTTAGTATATATATATATTTTATAGATACATAACACATGCATATATACACTATGTGTATTTAATATGTATATAGACTATTCATGTGTGTATGTATAGACATGTGTGCACACACATATTATATAGGTGCATGTTGTCTCCCCAAATAAAATGTTAGCTCCTGGAGGACCTGGACTGTCTCTTGTCTTTGTATCTCCCGTGCCTTAGCACAGTGCTTGGCACATAGGGAACACTTAATAAATGTTTGTTGATTAAGTGTCTGAGGCACCAGAATCACCAGGGCAGTTCTGCCTGAGACTTAACATGCATTTCTATGGTGCTTTAACATTTAATTTGCCAAGCACTTTCCCCAAAATATCCCTGTGAGGTAGGTAGTGAAAGTATTATTATCTATATTTAGCAAAGGGGGAAACTGAGGCAACTGGCTCATGGTCACACAGGAGGTGAGTTGAGATCATAGGATTTTAGATTTGGAAGGGCCCCTAGGGACCATCTAGTCCAGGGGTGGGGAACCTGAGGCCTCAACGTCATGTGTGACCCTCTAGGTCCTCAAGTGCACCCTTTGACTGAATCCAAGCTTCACAGAACAAATCACCTTCATAAAAGAATATGTTCTGTAAAGCTTGGACTCATTCAAAAAGCAGTACCCAAGGACCTAGACGACATGTGGTCTTGAGACCGTGGGTTCCCCACCCCTGATCTGGTCCATGAGTTCTTAACCTTTATTGTAGCATAGAACTCTTCCCAAAATAATGCTTTAAAAACATAAAATAAAATACATAGGATTACAAAGGAAAGCCAAGGTTAATGGTGCCATTTTTTCCCACCCAAATTTATAGATCCCCCCTGAAATCTATCCACAAATCCCTTGGGGTTAATTTAGAACCCCAATCTAAATCCAAAGCCCTCATTTTACAAATGAGGTAATGGACCTAAAGTACAATCTTACTATCATAGATTTAGCCCTGGAAGGGACCTCAGACATCAGCTAGCCCAAACCTTTCCTGCGACAGATGGAGAAGCTGAGGCTCAGAGGGCCAGGTTACTAAGGTAACAGGGACTAGAGCTGCACTGGAACCAGGATCTGAACCCAGGTTTCCTGACTCCTAGTCCTGGGCTATCTTCATTCCATAGGAGGGTGGTGTCAGGGACCAGGGACCAGGGGTCAGGGGTCACAGCCCACCTTCTGCAGCCCCACGCAGAAGCGACGGAAGACCTCCTTCATATTGCCCCCCTTCTCCATGGAGATGACCCTCAGATGGTCCTCCTCATTCACCCACACCAAGAAGCTCTTGTTGTCATTGTGCCTGAGGGAAGAAAGAAAGGGGATCAGAGGACCATTGGGTTCCCCAAGTCCCCTACCCTCTCCTCCTCCCTGAATGGGCTACCTAGCGTGGGGAGGGACTGTAGACTTACAGGAGGAGTCAGCAGGAAGAGGGTGTAGAGGAAAGGGTCTGAGAAGAGACCCTGTAAACAATAGGGGCAGAATTGTTGCTGGGCAGAATCACAGCAAGCTCAGGTCATAGAACGGTAGGCTCCTCAAATCTCAGAGTTTGCCCATCACCCTTCCCTCACCTCCTCTGAGTCCTGAAGAGCCCTAAACTTCTAGATTCTCAGAAGATTGGAATCTTAGCATCCTAGGAGGAGGTGGTTCTCATGCCCCAGATTCTTGGAATCACAAGGATCCCAGATCTGATCATCCCCAAATTTTGGAATGTTATGATTTTAGCCTTAGAGTTGGAAGGAAGCCGTAGTGTCCAAGTGCCTCATTTTGTGAATGAGGCATTCTGGACCCAGAGAGGGAAGGGACTGGTTCAAGGAAACACAGTTCACACATGGCAAAGCCAGAATTTGAGGTCAAGGACTCTGATCCCAAATAAAAAACACTTCCAAAAGTGCCACCATGCTGGAATTTGAATTTTCTGAAACGGAATCTTAGGATTTCTGAATTCTAGAATTCGAAGAATTCTAGGCTCTTAGCCCTTACAGAGACCGACCAGCCCCACTCCCTCATCATCTTTCACTAGCCTGGGGTGGATGCTCTGGACCTGCGTGTTTTTAAGGAGATGTGACTCCTAATTGGCTGAGAGAACGCTGAGCCAGGACACTTTGTAAGTGGAGCAGGGACATACTTGTTGGAGCCATCCTTGGAGAGAGGACCTTAAGGGAGACCCCTCAAGAGAGAGGAAAAGAGTGAACTTTAGATCGGCTGGAGCCCTGAGGCCACAGCCGCGTAGAGGAGCTGAGCCCCGCCATGTCTCTTGATTTTCAGCATTTGCAGCCTCAGAGACATCTAAGAATAGTCTGCCTCATGGTAAGATTGTTCTCTTGTTTTGAGCTGAGGTCCCATCTCACACCCAGCTGAAGAGCTCATTTATTCTTGCGTTTTCTTTGGTGTATTCTAATCTCCACCTCCTATTTCTGTTTGTGGTTCTTTTCGACAGAGGATCAAACTAGCTCTTCAAGACGGTCTTTTGTGGGGCTGTCAGTACGTTCCTCATTGAAAGGGATCAGGGAAATAGCTTTCATCCCGAATGCAGACCCAGACCTGGGACTAGAGTTACGCGAGGGAAGGCAGGTGGAGATGTCAGTCTAGAGTAAGACCAGGGGAGAGGTCTCCCGGCCTCAATGGTCCTATACTTCTCCCTGGCCTCAACGGCTAAGCTCCTACTGCCATCAGCACAGTGCCAGCAAAAGTGGCCAGATCCCAGATCCCATCTGTGAGTTGTGTCTCTGCGTTTAGACCGTCCTTCATGTCTAGCTACACCTTGTGTATAGATGAGGAAATGGAGAGGGAGGGGAAGGGGCCTTCTGCAGGGAGCCCAGGGCACATTCTGGCAGTGGGGCGCTCAGTGGGAGGGGCTCCTCACCAGATGCCGCGGGCATCGGGCCAGTCCCGGGCCATGCCAGAGGCCAGCAGCAGGGGGGAGACGGGCTTGTCAAAGAGGAAGTGATCATCAATCAGCTGCTGCTGCTCCTTCTCCGTCATGCTCTTCAGAGGGTAGTATTTGCCCTTGAACTCCCCAGTCAGACTGTTGAGGGCTGGGGGTTGGGGGAAGGTGGGAGGGGGAGAGGGGGAGGGAGAGAAGACAGCATAGAGTGAGCACCCAGACCTCGTGGAGGGTGGCTGTGGGTGGAATCCCAACAGGAGGTCCATGTGCATTGGAGGGGTCTCTAGAGGGGAGATTTTAGAGGGGGTAAAGGCATGGAACAAGGTATGGTGGCATGGAGAAAAGTTTCTTCATGAAGGACAAACAGACAAGGTCTTTCCTGGGCTGGGAATGCAGACAGGGAAGTTTGTGGAGACAAAGGGGGCCCCTCACCTTGGACACTCAGGGATTCCACAGCACGTCGCTCTCCCCGGGAGCAGTGGGGGGGCAGGGTGTAACCTTTGATGCTTCGGCCTGTCCGGACGCGGCTGCTCAGCACGTAGTTGGGGTCCAGGTCGTCACCACCCTAGGGGACAGTGTGGCAAGGGAGGCTGGCTTAGGGAGGGATCGATGTCTCCCCGCTGGAAGGCACCCCTGGACAGAGGGTATCCTAGCTCAACCCTGCCTAGCGAGCCTCTTCTAACTCTCACTCCCCCTTCCCCATCCTCTCATATGCCCTCACCTTTCCCCTTCAGCACTCACCTCCCTCCATCAGTCCCCATCTCACTCAGTCTCCCCTAATTTCCCTCCATCAGTGCTGGTCTTCTCCACTCTCCCCACTGCCTCCATGCCTTGACTTCTTACCCTTTCCTTCCCTTCCCCCCCACCAAACATTTCCCCAGTGGTTCTACCTTGAGGTTCTCATGGTTGAGGTCGGTCTTATGCTTGTCTGTGGGCTTGTAGCCCCCGTGCCGATCCTGAATGATGGGGTCAAACAGGTCCTTGAAGACGACATAAGACTCCTCGTCACCAGCCACACAGCCCACAGTCATGATGAAGGGATGGCCTGTGTGTGGGGATGAGAGGGGAGACAGAGGTCATAGAATCACAGAAACTTAAAACAAACACAGAATGTCAGAGCTGGGAGTGCCCTTAGAACATGGGATGTTTAAGATAGAAGAAAGCTTAGAACATGGAATGTCAGAGTGGGGAGGGATTTGAAGGCATAGAATGTTAGCAGTGGAGAGGACCTTAGAAGAGAGAATGCCAGATCTGGGAGGGCTCTTAGAACATTGGATGTCAGAGCTGGCAGGGACCTTAAGACATAGAATGTTAGCAGCAGAAAGGACTTTAGAACAGAGAATGTCAGAGCTGGGAAAGACTGTAGAGTAATGGAATGTCAAAGCTGAAAGAGAACTTGGAAATCGCCTGGTTCAGTATCTTGCAAATAGGACACTGTGGGGCTTGAAATCCATTGATGGAAACCATGGTAAGATGACAAAAGCAAACAGAGAGAAATGTAAGTCTGACACCTGGACTCAAACAGTCAATTTCACAAATATGAGATGAGACTCAAGTGGTTATGTGAGTTTGGAAACAAACTCCTCACTATGTACGACCATGTGCAATACCGAGGCTCTTGGGCTGTAATAAGAGTCGTGTGCCTTCCAAGGATAAGGCCATTAGATCATTGATAATCCAGAGACTGTCCAGGGGAAGCCTAATCCTAACCCTGACCAGGAGGGTGCAGGACCTAGAGCCCCTACCAGATGGGGATCCATTGAAGGGACTGGGGATGTTTAACCTGGAGAAGACTCGGGGGTGACATGATGGCTGTTGGTAAAGACATGAAAGGTTGAGATTTGAGAGAAGGCTTTTATCTGTCTTGCTTGGCCCCTGAGGGTGAAACCAAGCGTTGGGAAGAAGTTTCTAAGTGACAAATTTAGCCTTGAGGAAAGGCTACACTTCCTGATACAGAGAGGCAGCCAATCGCCCTTCATCCCAGGTCTTCACACATCAATCCAAGTTGGATGGACCCTTGTGGGCAATGGGATCACAGGATCCTATATTGAGCCTGGAAAGAATGGAGCTCAGAAGAAATCCAATAAAGGCAGCTAGTGGATAGATCACGGCCTGAAATCAGGAAGACCTGGATTCAAATCCAGTCTCAGACATTTACTAGCTGTGTGACCCTGGGCGAGTCACGTAGCCTGTTAGCCTCAGTTTCCTCATCTGTAAAATAGGTATAACAATAGAGCCCATTTTCCAAGGTGTTTGTGAGGATAAACCGAAATAGAATTTGCAAAGCCCTTTGAAAACCTTAAAGTGGTATAATTTTTATTATCACATCTTTATTTTAAAGATGAGGACACTGAGACTCAGACAGGGGCCATGCCCATGATCATGCAGGTATTAAGTAGCAGAGACAGTATCTGAACCCAGGTCTGGTGATCCCCAGTCCACCACCATACCACCACGATGCTTCGTAGGATGGGAGCAGGGGTCCTTGTTCATACGTGGGTTGCAACATATGTCTGTGAAGGTCCTTCCGATTTGGAAATCCTGGGATTCTGTGAAATGCTGATCTGAGAGCCCAAGGGGATGGGTGTGGGGGTGAGGTGATGATGAGGAGAGTGGGCTAGGAGATTCATGCCATGGCAAGAAAGAGCTTGCCAAGACATTAGAAACAAAACAGAAGCATCATTTTTACACCAAGAAACTGAACCACACAATTTATTTGTCCAAAAAACCTGATTCCTAATGCCATATTTAACATTTGGGGAAGGCAGCTAGGTGGTGCAGTGGGTAGAACACCAGCCCTGGAGTTGGGAAGACCTGAGTTCAAATCTATTCTCAGATGCTTACTAGCTGGGTGACCCTGGGCAAGTCACAACCCTGATTGCCTCTCTCTCAAAAAAAAAACATTTTAGGGGGAAGTAGAGGCAGCATTGGGATTTCTCCACGGCACTCCAGGCTTCCACAGAACAGAGCTTAGGAAGGACAGAGCGTGAGCTACCCATCTGGGCAGATAGAGGGCACGGAAGCAAGGGGACAGAGCTAGACATAATCTTAGCCAGTCTCAAGCAAAAGTATGGCAGAGGCTTTTGAGAGCATTTATTCAAACGCAGAGATGTTGTAGGGGAGGAAATCAAGGGCCTGAGAGGGAAAGAGGCTTGTCCGAGGTCAGAGAGCCACTCGTTGGCACAGCTGAGGTCTCCTACCTCCCAGTTTAGGACTACCTGTGGCTCTATTTGAAGGGATGAGGGTGAGCAGGGCTCCTGCAGGGCTTTGTAAGTGATTCTGAGATTACCAATGAGTTTTACAAACTCATATTTATTTATGAGTCTTCCATAGTCCCCAACTATGGAAATCCCAGACATATCTATGGGATATTTATGGGATCCTGCATCCAGGGCCATCTCTAGTTGTCCTGATCTATATCTGGTCACTGGACCCAGATGGCTCTGGAGGAGAGAGAGAGTGAGGCTGGAGACTTTGCACAGCCGTCCGTCACTTGAATCACTTGCAAGTCATGGCATCACCTTCCTGGTGTCACAGTCCTCTCCAAGAGCAAAGGAAAAACAACTGCAATATATAGGATACTTGGGAGTGTCCATTGGAGGACCTGAGAGAGTCTATGGGGATTATAGAATGATAATGTTAGATCTGGAAGGAACCTTAGAGGTCATCTAGTTCCACCCCCTCACTTTACAGATGGGGAAACTGAGGCCCAGGGAAGTGAGGTGGTTTGTCCAAGGTCTTATGAATAGTGAGCCTCGGAAGTGACTCCAGAGACTTCCTTTTCTACTGTTCCATACTGGGAGGGAGGGGACCAGAGGGCTGTCTGAGAAGTCCTTGGTGTGTCTATGGGGGTTCTGAGATCGTTCATTATAGTCCCAGTAGGTTTTGAGTGTGTCTCTGGGATCCTGGGGATATCTGTGGTAGATCAGGAATTATATAGGGGTGCTGTGAAATGTCTGTAGTCATTTCTGGGTGTCCCAGGGTTGTCCATTGAGACCCCAGAGGTGTCTATAAGACTCTCAGGGTATCTGAGTAAGAACCTGAGTTAGGTCCCAGGTGTGTCTGTGGGGCTCTGGGGATAGGTTTGTGGTGGTTTGGGGGAGGTTATAGGAATGCTAGGGAGTATTTGTGGCTATTTCTAGGGTCCTGGACAGTGTCTACTGGAGTCCTGGGGTGTCTATAGGGGCCTTGGGGTATCTGGGTTAGATTCGTGGCATGTCTAGGGTGGTTCTAGAAGTGTGTGGAGATGCTGGAGGTGTTTATGGCCATCTTTGGGTCCTAGGGTTGTCTAGGGTGGCTCTGGGAGTGTCCCTGTCGACTGTGGGGTGTTTATAGCCACCTCTGGGAGTGTCTAGGGTAGCTCTGGGAGCCTCTGGGGACTGGGGGGTAAGCCTCGCTCCCCCTCGCCCTCTCTCGGCACCAGGTCTCTCACCTGGGTTGTCCACCCCGGTCTGGATGACATCATCCAGAGTGAAGCCAGAGGGTGTCTCCTTGTCACGGAGCTTCTTGTACAGGTCTGCGGTGAGCACCTTGGCCATGTGGTTGTTGTGTTTGCTCAGGTCAGGGTACTCCTCCTCCGGCTTGAAGTTGAGCTTGTACTTGTTGTGGGTGTTTCCGAAAGGCATGGTGACAGTCGGGCAGGGCCTGTGGGGCAGAAGCAGGGGTCACTAGGGCCAGCCGCTGGGGCTTGGCTGGAGGAGAAGGACGCCACGTCTCAGAGAAGGGTCATCCTGGTGGGAAGGATGCTTGAGCTCTGGCTGCTGTGGCAAGATCAAGATAACCTGGAGCCCAAAGAAACCTGGGCTTGGGAGAACCTTAGAACCTCAGACCCCAAAGAATCTTAGATGAGGTAGAACTTTAGAACCTCAGACCCAATAGAATCTTAGACTCAGAAGAACCTTAGAACGCTTTCAACAGAATATTAGTCTCTGTAGATCCTTATACTCTTTGACCCAACAGAACCTTAGCCTTTTAGAACCTTTGACTCTTGGAATTGTAGGGTCTGAGACTAGAATGTTTGAGCTGGATGGACTTTGGATTTATGGATCTAATTCAACCCACTCAAGGTATAGATGGGGAAACTGAGGCCAGAGAAGGGAGGAGTGCCACAGCATTCTGTCAAACTAGAACCTGAGGTTCCTGACTCTTAGTTGAGGGGAGGAAGGAAGTAGGAGCAGAATCAGAGGGATGGGAAGGAAGGTCAGGAGAATTTTAGGGGTTGAGTGGAATTGTGGACAGTCTTAGGAGAGGGGAAAACATTAGGGTTGGGGAAAGCTTGAGGACCAGACCTCAGTTTCCCCATCTGTAAAATGGCAGGGTTGGACTAAATCATCTCTAAGGTCCCTTCTAGCTCTAAACGCTACTGTGCTCCTAAATTAGAGACGACTGGGGGGAGGGGGCAGACAAGGGGCAGAGAAGGCGGGGAATTATAGGAGTTGGGGGGGCAGTTGGAGCTGCCATCCCTGGGGGGATATTTTTAGCCTATGGACTCCGCCTCCCACAGCTGTGGCCATTCTCCCTCCCCTCCCCCCACCACATTCCGGGGGCTCTGTTTGCACCGAATCAGCCGCTCTGGAGCCAGGGGGGAGGTGGGAGAGGACAACAGCAGAGGACACCAGCCCTGCCCTAGGCTAGACAAAACCAGTCAGGAGCTGTTGGCCTCAGGGCCCCCTGAGACCTGACACAAGGGGAGCATCTGTCCCCTGGCTCGCGTGTGGGGCGCATATGGCCACACACACACACAGGGACACACCAGGGGCACACATGGGCACACGCGCGCACGCGCACACACACACACACGCGCGCGCGCGGGCACACCATCATGAGGAGGATCCAGCTCACACACAGACAAAAGCTGTCACATGAAGACACACACAGTCCATTGGGGCATCCCCCCCACCCAGAGACACCCAGAAAGTCATCATGCACCGGCATAAGGGGGCACACAAACATAGATCCAGTCAGAGACTCAGGCACAGGCAAGGTCACGGAATCACAGAGTTAGAAGGGGCCATTCAGGTTGGTTGTCAAGATGAGGAAACTGAGACCCAGAATCATCATCAGATATATGGAGAAGCAATCTGTCTTAAGCAGACACAGAGAAACCTACAGTTGTGCACACACACGCACACACACACAGTCACGTAGACACACAATGATACACAGGTACAGAGAGACAGTCACACACTAATCCAGAGGGAGCCAGTAGCGCACGTACAGTCGCATATGGTCACACACGGAACACAGAGCCAGCCAGCCAGACTGAGCACACCTACACAAGGAGATCCAGGGTCATTCACACCTAGTCATAGTTGTAAGATTGTGCTTGGATAAGAGCCCACCCTATGCAGGAGAAGTTGGGGAGACAAGTTCAGCCCCTTCCCTCTTTAATTTCTCCCAGCCTCCCCTTCCCTTTCCAACCACCCCTCCCCCAAATCCCTTGGAACCATACCTGCGCTGGGCTGGACTGGACTCTCTCTGTGTCCCCTACAACTGATGGGTGACCCAGGGGTCTGGCAGGGTAGCCCCTGGCTTATATAGGGAAGCCAGAGGGGCTGTCATTTGCGGGGGCCAGGCCAGCCCCCTGGAGGGTGGGAAGGAAGCTGAGCTGCCCACTGGGCATTGTGCCCGGGCAAGGGAGCATGGTTGGCCCTAGGCTCCCCCCCAGCTGGGCCCCGGGGTCCAGGAGTGCCTTGTGGCCTGAGCCCCACAGGATACCTTGTATGGGCGGCTGAGGGGAGCCCAGCTTGCCCCCCCCCCCCCCCCCCCCAGGCCCCGGGGGCCCCGGGGGCCCCGGCCCCCCCCCCCCCGGGGGCCCCGTGGGGGGGGGGGGGGGGGGGCCCCCGCTTCCCCCCCCCCCCCCAACAACAAGTGCTGAGTTGCACTGGAAGCAACAACTTGCTCCAGGCTGAGGACATTGGGGAAGAAGTGGAGGACACGTCCCTGGTTCCTGGCCTGGCCCGGCCCCTTCCCCCTCTTTGGGCCAGGGTCCAACTCCTTAGTCCTAGACAGCCCGGGGCCTCACATCCGTCAGTCTTTTGTCCCTCCCCTCTCAACTTAGCCTTTCACACCCTCCTCAGAACCTTGGCCTCCCACACCCTCAGACCCTAAGCTTTACCTTTAACCCTTCCCCAGTCCTCAGCCTTAGAATTCCACCTTTAAATTTCCATCTCCACTCTTGACCAATAAGCCTTTTCTTTGGCCTCTGAAGCTACACCTTAGCAGCCTCTGCCCCCCTGCTCCATTTCTTGGCCCCTAACTCCCTCTCACTTCCCCCCAACCTAAAGATTGTGTATTGGGAGCCCAGGTGGAAAAATGAGGTGAGATGGTAGGAGGAAGGGATTTGAACTCAGGACTAGGAGGGGGTGGTGCCACCATCCTGGACCCCCTCGCTGACTCTCCCAGTGGTAAGAGATTCCTCTTCACACCCAAGCTCTCTTAATGCTGAGAGACACAGTTCTTCTTCAAAGATTTCTGCCCTGAATGAGGACAGGCCATTCTGGGGTGGTGGACTGAGGCCCAGGCATCACAGCCCCCAGCCTGGGAAGGGTATTTTTAGAGGTGCCCAGAGGCTTTCTCAGCTCTCCTCCCATGGGGACAGGGAGGCCAGGACCTCAGTGGGGGGTGGAGGGGGGGGGCAAGCTGGGTGGGTTCCAGGGGCAGGTGTGGCTGGGGGAAGGCGGGGAGCCCAGGCACGTGGGGATCTAATTATAACCAGTTGCTGCCTGGGCCTTACAAGGACAGTAGCCTGTTTCTTTGGTCTGACTGCCCCCGCCCAACAGCTGACTCTTCTCTGCTTGTAAGGAGCCCCCAGGCTTGCGGGCAGACACAGGGATGAGAGCTAGGACTCTTCTTCTCCAGCGTTCCCGTAGCACCTCTCCTGCCCACATCCACTTATTCAGCCAGCCCCAACCCCCAACCGAGGCATAGCACCCCACCTCCCCTCCAATCCTGGGCCACCTGCTCTGTACTCCCCCAGCCCCTCCTCCCAAGGATCCCTGATTGCATCACCCCCTCCCTAGTCTCTTCATAATGCCTCCAGTGGGAAACCCCGGGGATACACTATTGGAAGCGGGGTGCATGGTTGTAGATGTGAGTGTGGGGGCGGTATTCAGTCAGAATCCCTATTTTGCTTGAGACCTCTCCCTTCCTCCAGACTAGTGTCGCCTCCTCCAGGAGACAGGTGGGTGTGCTCTTCCCCTGCCCTCTGAATGTACCCTGGTTGTCCCCCTCTGTGCTCCCCCCCCCCACCCCCCATGTTCTGGCCCGCCCTCCCTTCCCTGTCCCCTGGGACTGGCCTTATAGGGTCTGCTTCTGCCCCAAGAAGGAGGCACCTCATATAGCACAGGGAAAGAAAGCAAGCTTGGGGGGAGGGGGGCAAAGGAGAGATGTAAAAGCCGTTCTATCATCACCTCCACCCCTGTCAAGGACCATTCGCTGAGACTCAGCAGGGCAGCTGCCCTCAAAAGCAGGTGCTCACTCGGGTGTGGTTCCACAGCGCCATCTGCAGGCAGGAGCAGGGACCTGCTGGGGCTGGAGACACTGGCATGTGATTCGGAGATTCATTCAACTACGAGAAAATCCTAGAATGTCAGAGCTGCGGTGGGGGGTGGGGTTGGGGGCCATTGTCAGAAGAGAGAATGTTGAAAATGAAAATCATCATAGGATGTAAATTAGGGGAAGGAGACTTCCCATGACCCCATTAATTGGCTCATCAACCCTATTCCTGACACTTCATGGGTAGTTCTGCTTTTGGCTCTTCTCTAAGGTTCCCCCCACCAAAGGAGAAAATTAAAACAGGTATTTGATGCACAAATATGAGCTGGGTACACAGCAGGCAGTCTGCCCCTACCCATGAATGCCATGATAAGTACAAAAGAATTGTAGCATGCATTATTGAATGGCCAGAACAGAATTCAGCGACTGACTTATTACTACCAGTACAGCAAATGCAATAAGTTAATCAACAAGCATTTACACCTTCTCTGTGTCAGGCACTGTGTTAAACACTGAGGATACAGAGAGGGGCAGAAAACAGTTCTTACTTTCAAGGAGCCTCCATTCTAACAAGGAGACAATATGTAAAAATGATGAACATATACAGAGAAAGCAGTGGAATATTACTGCACTGTAAGAAATGTCAAATATGATGAATATGGAGAAGTCTGAAAAGATTTACATCAACTGATGCAACATGAAGTTAGAATAGCCAAAAAAGCAATACACAGAATGACTAAAACAATGTAAATGGAATCAACATCAGAAAACAATTAAAAAACGAATGTTGCAAAATTACAAAGAACAAATTTGGCCCCAAAGTAGAGATGTGAGAAGATACCTTCCTACATTCCTTTGCAGAGGTAGGAGGTCCACAGGTGTGGAACATTGCATCCATTTTCAGATTTTTTCTTCCATGTATTGATCAGTTTTGATGATTTTTTTCTCTTCTAGATCTTTTTCTTTTAAAAAAATTTCTTTGTTATGTGGGATGGCTCTCTAGGAGGGGAAGAGGAAGGGTACAGGGGAAAATTTAGGTAATGTAAAAACAAAAGATATCAATAAAATTATTTTTTTAAAAAAGGACATATATAAAGTAGTTGGAAAACAATCTCAGGGTCTATCAGTACCAGATCTCAAATTACACTGCAAAATAATGGTCATTAAACCATTTGATATGGGTTAAAAAAAGAGAGAGTCTGATCAGTAGAACAGATTGGGTACCCAACATTCAAAAGCAAACACAATAGCCTATGTTAGATAAACCAAAAGACTCCGGTGGCTGGAGGAAGGACTCACTATTTACAAAAACTGGTGGGAAAACTGGACAACAGTCTGACAGAAATTAGACTTAGACCAACACCTTCCACCATACACCAAGAGAAGTTCCTAGATATAAAAGGTCACATCGTAAACAAATGAGAAGAAATTACCTTTCAGATCCTAATTAAGAAGTTACTTTTTCAGATCTATGAAGAGGGGAAGAGTTCAGGACTAGGCAGGGGATAGAGAGGCTCACACGAGATAAAATGGACAATTTTGATTATATAAAATTTGAAAGTTTTTGCACTAACAAATTGAATGTGGTAAAAATTAGAAGGGAAACAGGCCACTGGGGTGGGGGGGATCTTTGCAACAAGGTTCTCTAACAAAGGTTTCATTTTCTATGGGAAAACTTATGAACTGATGCAAAAGAGAGGTAAGAAGAACTAGGAAATGTTTGAAGCTTATAACTGAGAGCCATTCCCGATAAATAAATGGTCAAAGGGAAAAACAAGCAGTTTTTAAAGGAAGAAATCTAAGCTATCAACAATCATGAAAAAATGGTCTAATTTTTTTTTTAAAAAGGGCATTTATTAAGCACCTATTATGTGCTAGGTACTGTGCTAAGTCTGAGAATACAAAGAAAGGCAAAAGAAAATCCCTGCTTTCAAGGAGCTCTCGGGCTAACAAGGGAGACAAAATGCAAACAATTATGTACAAACAAGATACATAGAAGATAAATTGTATATCATCTTAGAGGTTAGGGAGGACTGGGAAGGGCTTCTCGTACAAGGTAAGTACTTAAAGGACACCAGGAGTTGGAAACGGAGAGATAGATCTAGTTCCAGGCATGGAGGACAGCCAGGGTTAATGCCCACAGTCAGGAGACAGAGTGCCATTTTTGAGCAACAGCAAAAAGGTCAATGTCACTGGATTGTAAAGTAGGTGAGGGCAGGTTGAGTAAAGTCTAAGAAGACTGGGAAGTATAGAGTGGGCCAGATTTGTGAAGGGCTCTGAGTGCCAAATGGAGGATTTTATTCTGCATGCTGCAGTTAGTAGTAGTTATTGAGTAGGTGGGTGACATGGTCAGATCTGCACTTTAAAAAGATCAATTTGCCAGCTCAGTGGACGAGGGACTGGAGGAGGGAGAGTCTTGAAGCAGACTGACTACTAATAATTAGAGAAATACAAATTAAAGCAACTCTGAGGTTCTATCTCACACTTGGGCTGGCAAAGATGAACAAACAGGAGCAAATGTTGGAGGGGCTGCATACACTGTTGGTGGAGCTATTGATCAATCGATAAACCCTATTATGTGCCACCCACTGTGCTAAGCTTTGGGGAGATACAGAGAGGCAAAAGATAGTCCCTACCCTTAAAGAGCTTACAATTTAATGGGGGGGGGTGGATGTAATAACTATGTACAGACAAGCAATATACAGAATCAGTTGGAAGTAATTAGCAGAGGGAAGGCACTAGAATTAAGAGGTGTTGCTCAAGCCATTCTGGAGAGCAATTTGAACTATGCCTCTCAAATACACTGACTTGTGTATGACCCTGGAGACATCCATGCCACTACTAGGTCTATACCCCAGTGACATCATAGGAAAAGGATCTCTATGTACAGAAAATATTTATAGTAGCTCCTTTCAGAGTAGCCAGAAATGAGAAATGAAGGGGAGTGTGCTCCTAATGGAGAAATTGTGGTGTATAAATGGAATGGGATATAATTGTGCCTGA